GAAGATTAAGGTAATAAAGTATGGGTCAAGTGGTGTGTTTATCCGGTAACAAACGGTACCCGTCGATTCGAGCCGATTTTTCTTAAATCGCGTATATTAGGTTTTTAACTTATAATCACTAACTTATTATTATCACTTTTAATCATACACTTAATATCATCTAAAACTCACTCTTAATCACCAAATTTGATCTACACTCCGTACCGGATAGTCACACCACGGATAGGCGTAAAAACCCTAATTGGCACTAACTTGAAAACGAAAAGGAAAAACCCTTAATTCTATATTCATTTGCACTTATTGTGGGGTGATTGGGTAGTAGGGCCATTATAAAGTAATAATTTCCAAATAAAAGGGTATTTTTAAGAAAATATAAGGAATTTTATGGGTCCTCACATCGATAATGTGTTTCAAATTTAACGTACACTAACTCATACTAGGAAAATGAATTTAAAACTGTACTTGCTTGTAAAAATGCATAGAAAGTTTAATATTTCCAAAGAAAGTATAAAATGTAGGCAAAGGAATAAAATAATGCTGAGAAAATGTGAAAATTTTGGGTTCTCACAGAACTTCTTGATAAGTATTTTATGATCTAGACAGTGAATAGCAATCTAAGCGGTTTATGTGGTCTGTTTCGCTGCTGGAGAAAAACGTTGGTAAAAGACAATTATCACCTGTAGTGAGAGGGGAGCTTGTTGAAATGGCATTACTGGGGCAGTATAGCGAATACCAATGTACATAAGTGAAATGAGAGATTGTTGATAATTTACAAATTACGGGGGTTCTATTTTCTATCATAATTAAGTTGATTGCCTACTAATTTCATTATTGGAGGGACAAATCCATGCTAAATGATTTACCTCAAGCACTGGTAGGTCATTAAAGCCTTATCGTTTAGTAGTTTTAGTTGTAACATTTTGCAAATTAGTTTATCCTTTCAGAAGTTTTAGAAATCTTGCTTATCCTCCCTTGAAATTTATCCGAATATTACCTAACACATTCGAAATTTCAGAAATCTCATTTATCTCCCCTATCAATATAATGTGTTAAGATGTTCCTTCCTCTCCTCCTCTTCCCCCTCCCTCCTCCTCTATTCCTACAATCCTACCCCTCCCTTCTCCTCTGATCATGGAAAGATTTCGTCATGAAAAGGACACGGAGGGAGAAAAAAGGGAAACGAAAGCAGAGGATGGAGGAGAGGAGGAGAAGAGGGGCAGAGGAAGAGGGGAGAGGAGGAGAGTGGAGGGGTTGGTGTTGGAGGTTGACAGTGGCGGGTGTGGTACTATTTTTTATTAGTTATTTTTTAGTACTTTTGTTACGTGTATTTTAGATGTATTTGGAGTGTTTTGAGATATATTTTTTTAATTATATTTGAAAAGCTTACTTGTCCAGTTATGCACCCTCTTCAGTGTGAACCAATCCAATAACAGCAAAAATGTGGATGAATCAGGCGAGAAATTTGCGCAAGCAAATCCTGGAGATGAGTTCTTGCTTCAACACATCTACCTCTTCTAAGACATGGACGAAACAGTTTTGTACGCAAAGGTCATTGGGAACACAAGCATCAGTTTCCATTTGCACAACACACGTTTTAATTTCCTTTTGCACTCCAGCTTCACAGAGGCCATATCATCACGTTCTACACCACAACATCAAGATAGAATCATTTATTTGGAAGACTTGCAAAATTGCTATCCAGGGAGCAACCTTTAGAACCATATCAAGCAGGGTAGAATTCTTTAATTGCAGTTTTGGTCCCTAATTTATAATTCATACACGAAACTAGTCCCCAATCTATTGATAAAAGTAAATATAGTCCTCGATCTATCCAATTTTGCGCAAAATTGAGCAATTGAGAGATTTCTTTCAATTTTTTAATGGAATCATGGCATGTGCAGTCACATGACTGACACTTAAAAGCTTTTCCTCTTTTTTTTTTTTAATTAGAAAAACCATCCGAAACTTAACTAGTCCATTTTCTTTTTAACTCTTGTTTATTAGTGGGACTAAAATACACTAACATCTGGAAAAGCCTCAATATTTGTTGTTTATTAGTGAGGTTAAAACACACTAACATCTGGAAAAGCCAAGATTAGTCAATAAACCCAAAAAAATGAGAAGATTTTTCTATTCCCTAATTAGGGCAGAAATCTATACCCATCGAAGCAAGAATTGAACTCATGGTACCAGAAAAATTTTGCAAGTGTGATGAACCAGCAAAAATGATTACATCATGGACAAGCAACAACCTTGGGAGAAGGTGCTTCTCTTGTGCCTTCAACATATGGGATTTTTTTCTTTGTTTCTGTGGTTATGAAGTTTAATTTTGTATTTATTCCTGATTTAATTCTCTGTTGGGCAACAGAGGCGGCGGTGGTAAAGACTGCAACTATTTTGAGTGGCATGATTCAATCATGTTTTAAGTGCTCTACATCATGTGTACTACAATAATGGTTTCAAATCATCCAAGGGCATGTAACTAATTACAACTAATGAAACCATATTGATCCATACATGGGATAGACAAGCGCTAGCTTAAACTTTGCCTTTAGTATGACGAATGTGTAAAAATTTTGCCCGCTAGCAGGCCTAGATTAAGGCCTCACAAAGTTTTACACAGTTGATTTATATCAGTTGTTCAATGGCACTTTTTTTTTTTTTTTTTTTTTAAACTGCATTACATTAAACAGAAAGCGGGGAAAAAAAGGATCAAATATTATGCTTCAAATACATAACCACCAAGGTTCAAAGGCGAATGCTTACATAGAATGAAGCAAAAAGAACCAGCTATTAGCATGAATTTACAGTCGTTTCCCTCATCTAGATGAAAGCTGGTCTTACAAGGATTCACGATTTCTCTAGAAATGAAAAGCAATCCATGCAGAAGGGTGATTCAGTCGTAGTCTCCTTCGCTGGGTGAATGATCTGTATCGGTCTCAGCTTCCCTTATTACTTCCTGCAAATAAATAGCTTTGGTCTCTCCCAACAACTTGTATTCACTGCATCTAGAGCATACCAACATGTAAGCCACATGAGTGTTACCCTCGAGAGATAAAATCACACCATTTTATGGCTCCAGAAAGGAAGAGAAATTGTTCATCAAGCAGCTCATTTTATTCACTTTCCTTTAAATTGTATTTGGAAAAATAGTTACGGTTTTTCTATTACTCGTACTGAAATAAACGCCCTCTAGAGAACATGATGCAAAAGCTACCATACATGTAATGGCTTTAGCTAAGAAGATCTAACTAAACACTAACAAGTAAGCTGCTACTTCAGGCAAGTACATCGTTCTGAGGAACAAGAAATTAAGGTTACTACACATTTGAAGTAATGTATATTCAAGAGTACCTTGTCCAAACTCAAGGAATCATATACTGAAACTGTGCACAGGATGAGTCACCGTCAAGCAAGCCTGACTCAGCCTCTAAAGAATCAATTTCTTATCCCTCCCAAAACACCTAGTCTTGAATTCCTTAGAAAAGCTAATTAAAAAGACATCTAACGTACTTGCAGGTAACAGACAATGATAACATGTTAGTCTAGTCACTTATATGTTGTCTCTCATTAGTCTTCTTCGGCTTACGGATACGCAAAGACCACGATATTAGATGGCTGCATATTTGCCATGAAAGCGAGCTTTATGATCAGATGCCTATGGCAAATCCATAATCCAGAAGAAAGAAACGAGAATTGGCTTCTAGTCTCAACACCTTCTGAATTTGACTTGATATGTAACAAGTTTGAAGAAAAAATGTGTTAATTCACACAATAATCAATATTTCTTCATGTAATCTCATTTAGTTTAGCTATTTAGCATTATTCAAACAGCACTTTTTTCTGGTCTTCTCAATAGTGCTTGATGTGTAACTTGGTCCGCATAGAATGAAGATGCTTGAATATTAAGTGGACAAATTCATCATCACATTCTTCCACCCCATAGACATGCTGTAATGCCTCTCTGTCTCTCTCTCTCTCTCTCATGCACAGATATCACACCATGATTTTATGGCTCCTGAGATTATATTAGTAAAAAGTCAGCAAAATTCGTCCAAAAGCAGAGTTGCGTAGTTTTTGACAGAAACTTAACTTTAAAATCTTAAATAGGGGCGGAGGCTGAAAACGTGGAAATCAGATGTTCCACCAGCAACATGCAAGACCATGAAATCAATATGTACTTTATTTTCATTATTGACCATCCTGGTTAATAGAAACTGCATCTTACCATATTTCAAATGAAAATCTACTGATACCTAACTGGAAACCCAAAAATAACAACACCAAAGAAAAGTTCAATCACTTTGGACAGTAAAAGACTGGAAAAAGCAAACCACGTACCTTAAATTAATATTCAGTATCTCCATACCATCTCCATTCAAAACATCCTTGAGAGAAATGAGACTTGGAACATGAGCAATCGCTTCATATTTTGTTTTGACATCAAGAATTCTGAAATACTTCCACCTGCCATAATTTTCAGGTTGATAATATATAAAGGCACTCTTAGGGGACAGAAACATCAGCAACCCTTTGTTTTCTTCAAAACTGATCGGCTGGTACACACAATAAGGCCACCTTTCAACACAAAGGGAATCAGTTGACACAATTTTCATCCATGTTTTTGGTTCACCATACTTTTTCATCACCCATATGTCGAGTGAATCATAGCCTGAGCAAGTACACAAACATAGGCTACCTCTTAATACTCCCAAGCTTGTGTTACACTGATTATTCCATCGAATGATGGGATCAAAATAATCACCAAGAGGAGGAAGCTGAACTGACTTGAACTCCTCTCTGCCAAGGTCAAAACAATATATCAAAATAAGTTTGCTGAAATCAAGGGAAATCCAATGAAGAAATCCATTCAGATATGTAGCAAATTTCAGTTTGCTGCTACAGTATGGAGCATAACCGATTCTTCTCCAAGTCCCAGTGCCAAGTGTGTGTACCTCAACCAACGTTTTCTTGTAACTTTTTTCTCCTGTAATTGGGCATCAATACATGGATTCAAAATATCCTTGGTCAATCATTCTAACAACTTTATATCGATTAGTCTCCTCACAAAGGCCAAATCCACAAGACACCATATCTTTCTCGGTATTGTTATCAGATTCATCTGTTCCTGGAAGGTTTAAATACTCACCTGTGACTGGATTGCACACAACAAGTGGGTTGTTGCTTGAAGGTTCTGACAAACAGACAAATCCTTTACAAGAATTGACGATCTGGAACTTATGCTCTTTTGGTCTCACTTTTACACAACACTTCTTAAAACCACGCTTACTACTAAGACAGGATTTGGTATCACTGACATTATGTGGCTGTGGCATTTTTTCAGCATTGCGCAAAGGAATCTTCAACTTGGTATCCAGTTTCTTATAAAAATCCCGACCATAATTAAGCCCGAGATGCCTCGCAAAACGAGAATCAGAAAATGAATCGTAGTTGTCAACGTCAGATGGCTCAATTAGGTAAAGCATTCTTGCAACTCGTGTGTTACCCAAGGTCCGGACTAGAGGACAGGGCTGTGCAAGTTCAAAATGCATCCTAGCAAATTGAGGGTCTGAAATTACCCGACGCCAAGGTTTGCAAACACATTTGCACATGATAATTGCCCTAATGGGCAGTCTTAGCACAATATTCTTGAAGATAGGCTCAGGTACATCCGTGATAGAGGTACCGAAATGCTCAACCTCTTCATATGCTTTTCTTTTTCCTTTACAACCTGCTCTGAGTGCTTTTGAGTTTCTTTTTCTCTTCATCATTCCTCAACCAACGGGGGTGATCTGGGGTGAAAAAGGCGAGGAGGAACCATGAAGCATAAAAAACTAATGAATAGTGCAGATTTAGTCACACCATATTGCAAATATTGGGTGGTCATTTACCGAAATCATCAAATAAAAGGATCAACAATAATTTCAAGTCAATAGAAGCCTTTTAACATTTCAAGAAATACAAAAATGATTAAACAAGCCAAGTTTAACTCACCATTCTGTAGTATTTCTAACTTCTCTTAATACCATTTTCTTGTTATGGCTGTCCTGGGGTTTCAAGACATCCCTTATAATTACCTAATGCCACGTTATATTTTTGTCTTAATACCATCTTCTTGCTATGGCTTTCATGGGATATCAAGATATCCCTCATGAGTATCAAATGTCACATCACTTTTTCTTCTTTCCTTCTATCAATTCCCAATTGAGAACTTTTGATATACACCCTCAATTTTGAATAACTTCATCCTCACATAAATCAATAACTGAACAGAACCACATTCAAGACTATGAATATGAATATGTAATAAAACACGAGAGAGAGATGTACCTGAGTACCAGAGAGGAGAGTGGAAACAGGAGCAATGGTAAAGGTATAATGTAATTTGAGGGTAACAAATACTTCAGAAATGGGTTAAAAGTTTACACAAAAGGGCGGGGACACGAAAATCTGAGCGGGAGACGCTAATTCCACCTATACTTGTGGATTTGGAAAAAAAAAATAGTAATTTTTTGGCCGAGTCCTAAAACCTTGTAAAAGAAGTCCAGTTTGGGTAAGTTTTGGATCATATTCTGTATTCAAATTCAGGCCCAACTATAGATATATATATACATATATATATATATATACGACCGTTTAGGATTGCAATAATTTATTGAAAAATATTTTTTCAATAGGATTTTTAATAAAAGTATTTATTAAATGCTTAAATACTTTTAAATATACTGTTTGGAAATATAGTTCAATAAGTACTTATTGTATTGTATAATGTAGGGGTGTGAATCGAAATCGAAATCGGTAATCTTTCGAAATTTTGGTATCAAAATTTTCGATCGATTTCGATTTCGAATTCAAATTCGTTCCGAATTCAATTCGGAATTCGGTAAATTCCGATTTCACCGAATTCATGAATATAAAAATTATTATTATTATTATATAAATATTATATTACATATATATATATAAAAATATTATATATATGTGTGAAAACGAAATTGAAATCGAAATAGGAATTCCGATTTCACCGAATTCATGAATATAAAAATTATTATTATATTATAAATGTTATATTATATACATTATATATATATGAAAAACAGATTTGAAATCGAAATAGGAATTCCGAATTCAATTTCGATTTCGATTTCGAATTGTGAATTCAAAATCGGAATTTTCGATTTGAAAAATCTCATTACCGAATTCGATCCGAATTCGACCAATTCGAAATCGGATATTCCGATTTTCATTCCGAATTACCGAATTCGAAATTCCGAATTCGAATTGAATTCGGTCGGTAAATCAGGATTTTTCGATTTTGCACACCCCTAGTATAATGTGTGATTTTAAAATTTTTAAATATATTTGTCTCTTTATTTAGTTTATAATATAGGATAAGATAATTAAATTTAATACTTTATTTTCTAAATTACAAAAACTATTCTAAAGGTACCAAATTTAAACTTTTGATAAAAGTGCTTTTAACACAAAAAATTTCACTCCTAATTTTATGGACAATGTTCACCAAACGACTTAAAATTACTTTTAACACAAAAAGTAGTTTGTTACAAAAAGCACCCAACTCTGAACGGGGCCTTAGGATAGGCGGAAATGTAGCTTTGGTCTCTAATATTTGACGTATGTGCAAGACTGGTTCTTAATATTTCGGTTAAAACAAATCCGCCTCCAAAATTTCTAAACAAATATCAAACAACTGATGGAAAATCCAACAATCCAAATCAAACGGGCGTTAGTCAAAAGTTGTGACTTTGCATTTTTTTTGTCCATAATGTTTTAAGTTCTGCCTATATGGTCCCTTAAATTTTAAATAGTTATAATTAGCATTTTGAGATTAAGTGAAAGGTGATTTAATTAATTAATTATATGATAAATGTATTCCTAGATCTCTATAAATTTTTCACTAAAATACTTTATATCAGCACGACATTTCATAATCATTCAACCTAAAGAGTATCTCTTCATTACATAAGTTACAATTAGATAACAATACATATGACATATAGAATAAAACTTTGGGAGTTATAGTCTTAATATGTGTCTTTATTAATTACAACTACACAAATTCTTGCATGATTAGTGGACGTAAGCTTCAAGTAGTTGTAATTTGGCTTGTGTAATGCACATGGTTTCATGAATTGACCAAAATATCCTTTCTAAGCTGTATAAAATTTCACAAAAAATTTTTGAACAAAATTTTGAAGTAATAAGATAAATCAAGATGTACTGTCAATATTACACTCATGTTGTAAAAACTTTTGAACATGCAGAATATAAAATACAATGTACTTAACAATTATATTTTTTTAATACATTTCCAATTATAACAAAGATACCACAAATATTAGCCATAAGCTAGTATATAATAAACTTACACACAATTGTGATTAATCAAAAGCTACAAAAAAACTAGAATTTTTTAGCAATGTGGGAATAGATAGATTTTTGAAAAAAAATTTATCATTAAAATTTAATGCAATGATCATTAACCAAAAGTTGCAAAATATTAGAATTTTTAGCGATATGGGGAATAACTAGATTTTTTTTTGAAAAATTTTTCATCAAGGACAAGTAATGGAAAATTTTTGGTATTCAAGAACTTTGGGGAAATTTAGTCAATTCACAAATATGTATGTGTTGTTCTTGTTGAATTCAACTTGAAATTGGACTATCCTACTCAACTGTACATGATTTGAAAATTATAATAGATCAAAATCATTCAATTAATCAGTCAGGGGCAATTTGGGAAAGAAGCATTTTTTGAGAAGATTTATTGGAATTTCCCCTCATTTACTATCCATGGTTTTTTTTATATTATACAAATGTCCTCAGCCTTTTTTTATTTGAGGAATTTCAAATTTCTATATCAGCCCCCAAGCTCAGCTGAGATTGCTAATGCATTGTGTATCTTGGAGTACTTTGGTTCAATTGTGGCATACTACAAACAGTTTAGCACCAATTACGCAGTCATTGTATATGGGCCGTTGACAATAAATAAGCAAAGTAATTGAAGGTACATAGCTAACCTTAAAGCTGCAAATTTAATCTAAATGGTTGATGTAATATTCCAATATTTGTTTAAGATCAATTAAGTACCAATGAACCTCCTATACAAGCTAGCATAAAAGGGTTAAAGGTGGTAGAATAGCACAATAGATATTCCAATACTTTTTATGGAACTTTTTTTACCATAATTTTTGAGATGTTGGATTTGATGTATCTGTAATTCTGCATGTATTGTTGAATTAGTTACTTACATAGGCATGTTAAATGGACTCGCACCGTTGGACAATTTTCTTTGCAACAAAATCCATGTATACAACGGCCAAAATTGCATAACAAACAACCTAGAGGATGCCCCTAATTAGTTGTTAAGTGTAGCTGAAGCCAAATTTTATAATGATGAATCTATGTCTTCTACATGTCGAAAATGCATTTCAAATCTATTCTCCAATCAATCAGACATTCTTTTTAATTTGGTGTTCTAATGAGGAAAATTTACCATTCTTCAATCATTACAATAAGCATCACACTCAGACTTGCAAACACGATTTTTTGAAAGCTAACTGTCATACTTAAGTAAGTTTATGATACAGATCTACTCTACAATCTCATATTGACAAAATTATATATATATATTGTTAATCTCAGTCTGAAGCTTTTGATGATTACAAAACAAATGGATGTTACTAATATTTTCTCAATAGACCTTTTCAGAATTGAAGCAGAACAGGTTCAAGAAATAAGCACAAGGATTACTGAAGCTGCAGTCGGCCGCACAAGAAGATTGGAGCTGACGTCCGACAATCATTGCATAATTTCGGACGCATGAAGAACTCCACTCTCGGACGTCCGAAGATATTAAGTTATTCCTTCTAAACTCACTAACTTTGATCGGACGCACATCATCATAGCACCGGACGTCCGACAAACATTGCGACACTTCGGGCACAAAGTCTTGGCGGCACCGGACGTCCGAAAAAAGTTGAAAAAGAATTCTCAGTTTCATTTCCTACCTCCAGACGCATACACTAAAGGTACCGGACGTCCGAAATAATTCAAAAAACTTTCTTGAGCTCACTGCTTGCGTTCGGACACAAGAAATAAGTGCATCGGACGTCCGACACTACCAACGGCTAATTGACTTTTCAGCTACCTTCTGTCCGTTGAAAGCATTAATTGAAGATTTTTTTGGTCTCATATAAATAGAACAAAGTCAACTATTTCAAAATGACTTTGCACATTGAGATTACATCATATGAAGAGTGATTTTAGTGAGAAAATACTCTAAAAGGAAGTCTTGTAATCTTAGTTGTATAAATTTCATAGAAGCTTTTCTTTTGTGAGAAAATTACTTCAATAGTGTAGATTTGTGAGGGTTATCCGAGTGATAATAAAACTTCCTAACTTGACCAAGTGTGGATTGGGGTAAGGAGGAAGTGATCCTTTTTTTGTACATAAAGATTGGTTGTAATTGATCAACTTGAAAAAGCTTGTTCTATAAAGTGTATCCAAGCTCAAGAGGAGTTTGGAAGTGATTCTGGTTTGCTATCCTTTTTCTACTGCTTACTATATTGCAAATACAAACTGACTTTCTCTTCTACTTACAAGCAATTCTGATCTCTCATTAATTGGTATATTGTGTGGTCATCTAGAAAAGAGGGTAAGTTTCAAATTGAGGAAAAAGAGTCTCACATCTTGATTTTTTTTTAAAATAACCTAATTCACCCCCTCTTAGGTTGTTTTCGATCCT